ATTGTGGTGCTCTTTGACAGGGGAAAGCCTCCTGGATAGCTCTGCCAGCTCTGCTTCTATGTCTTTCACTGGATGCTTCGAGTTAGAAGAGTGAAAAATGGAGTGTGATGGAGTATTAGCAGAAAATCAGGTTTTTAAATGAGGCTAACCAATTTCTCCACTCACAGCCAAGTCCATCACAGCTTCTGACTCGACTCCTGTTCCTGTGACAAGACCTGTACTTGGGGAACTTGCCTATCAGGTGCTGGGATGTCCAACCCCGTGCTGCAGCAGGCTCCCATACAGCACATCACTCAGGAATGTGTCCAGATGGCATTTGAATAATTCTGTTTTGGTACTGAATACTCAAAACTTTTAGCATCTGGTTCAGTGGGCCTAGGAAGCTGCTACTCCTTGGGAAGCAGAGATTTGTGAAGGGCCATGTGTTGTGCCCATAAAATGAAAACCTGGGTGTTATATCCAAACCTGATGTGTCTGCCAACAGAGAATGAGACCCCTGAACATCTCCTGCCCTGGGAAACCCCTGTGAGCAGATAATCCTCATTTCTCCCAAGCAAAGCAGAGCATCTCATTTACTCATGTTTGCTGTTTGTGTTTCCCTCTCCTTCCTGGTGGCTGTTTAACAGAAACCTTGGATTAGTGGCACTTCACTTGCTGTGGGAAAACCTGCTCTGGGACAGATTGCTTGGCCTCTGTTTTGCTCTCGGGTGGGAGATCTTGTCTCGTACTTGGAGGCTGAGAAAAAGCAACCCCTGTGTGGGGTTGGGAGCCAGCACGTGCTGGGGAGGAAAGGCAGCTGTCAGCCATGGCAAACGTGCTGCTGCTGGTACAAACTTGCCTTCCCACTGTCTTTGAGCACATGGGGAAGTGGTGCCAAGCAAGTGGCAAGAAATGACAGCCAGACTCCCTCTGTGCCGGGTTGTGCAGCCTCTGCAGTGTTTGCAGCCCCTCGCTGCATTGCTCAGCTGTCTTGCTGTACTAATGGCTTTGAACTCCTGCTTCTGAGGGGAGTGATTAAGGTGTTGCTGCTTAGTCATCAGCCTGTGCTTCCCATTTAATTTCTGATGAATACAACGGAGAGCTTAAGTGCCCCGTGATTGAAATCACAAGCGCCTTCCCCGTGGAAGGGTTTCAAGGTGCTCTTCCCTTCTGCCCCCTGGATTTTGGGGATTGATCTTCTCAGCAGCCCCAGCTCAGCAGAGCTTTTGCTTGTGATCAGGAGCTCACTGTGCAGGTGGCTGGCTGTTAAAAAGTGCTTGGTAACTGAGCACACAACAGCACCTGCAGTTACGCAAAAGAATTGCCAAGGTGGAGACTTTGGGAAGAGCAGATGAAACCCCCCACCTTCCTCACAGGCATTTTCACGTGGGGAAATCATAGAATAGTTTGGCTTGGAAGGGACCTTACAAATCATCTAATTCCACGCCCTGTCACAGGAAAGGACACCTTGCATATGATATATTGGAATACCTCTCCCAGGAGAGGTAGAGAATTTAGCCAGAGCTGAGTGGGAAGCACGTTTTCAATTCCACAACATTTTTTTGAGCTGTGGATGGGAAGAAAATATTAAAAATATTCTGCAGACTGAAAAACCTGAAAAAAAGTCAAGTTGGGTCAATACAAAGAGTTAGGTGAGACAGTGGTAGATCACTCCAGGCTCAAATTTTGCTTTTGCATTTTTTCCAAGTTTCAAAAAAAAAAAAAAACCCAAAACCAAAAAACAACCCCAAAACAAAAAAGGGCATTGTAGAAACTGTATCTTTATAGATGAAGCTAGTTTTTGTGTGCTCTGAATGTCACAGTGTTCCAGCAGTTTTCTAACATTTTTTCCTGAAATGTATTGAAAATTGAGCACACTCCTTGACAAAAAGGCTGGTTTTTTTTTGTTTTTTTTTTTTTTATTTTGCAATCTATAACAGTGTCTGATCCTTCTGTGCTATACTGAAAGGCATGAACACAAATTTATATGGTTCCCTAAATCTGACCTTCCTGACTGCCTCTGGAGATGCTCCTAACTCTCACCTGCTTTTCTTGAACTTTCAAATTAAACAAACCTTTTCTATGTGTTCAGTGAGCTGGTCCTCCATCTCTGTCCATGTTTGATGAGTCATTTGCTGAGCTTCTGCCTGGAAAAAGCCATGTTCCAATAGAGCTTGAAAAGCATTTTAGAATGAGCATCCCTATTACAATAAAATCACTAAGCAATGAAATACACTAAATTCTTACCTAAATAAATGTAGTTCTGTTAAAAATAAATACTCACCTACCAGCTCCTTCTATGAAAATTGAGAACAAGAAAAAAAAGACAGGCTGTATGGAAGGCTCTGCTAATATTAGCACTTTTTTTTCAGTGCTTGGAGAAATTTGATTTATTTAAAAAATCTTGGTGCAAATTCACCAGGCAGTATTGCTGAAGGGGTTTTTTTTTTTGGGGGGGGGGTTTGTTTGGTTTTTTTTTTGGATCATCAGATAGCCAAAGGCAGCATCAACCCCTCGTGTTTCACTGGGATTTAACTTTAAGCACAGACTATGTCCACACAAACATCTCCATTCAGTAGCTGTTACACTCTGAGGTAGGTGCTGTGCTTTGCTTTTCCATCCTGGTCATCCCTGAGATGATCACCACCCACACCAGCCTGGCTGGGGCTGCTCCTGCTGAATCCTTGTGATGGATCCTGAACTTCACTGCTGGGAGATAACAATGAAAGGACCTTGCTGGTCAACCTCACAAAAAAAACCCCCTCACCTCAAAATATTAAGTGAACAGATAAATTTTGGATTTTTTTTTCTCTTTCAGAGGAGCTTTTATGTTTCTAACTGTGATTTTTCAAGATTTCCTATATAAAAATTTTCCTTCATCCCTAGAGTTTAAAATCTTCAGTTCAAACTGAAAAATGGGAACATTTCATTTTCAAAACACTGAAACAATAATTGAAGTTTACTCCTGCTTTTCACTATATCCTGCAAACAAAAACAATTTGGCAAAGTTTGTATTCAGTTGGGAGATGTTTGGGAACTCCAAAAACTGTGTGTGGTTTTCCTCTGTAAAACAGTGCTGGGAAGTGACAAGTGCTCAGTGGGGCAGAAAAGTGAGGGATTTTCCCAAATCTTTGATGGATGATGAACAGTACACTGGCTAATGGAGAGAAGATGCTCAGAGCCTATGGAAAAATTGTGTTGCTGCAGAGATATTGGATAACACCCCTGAATGTCTGGAGCTAATTTAATAACAGCATTACTGCATGAGAAGGGAAATTGGCAGAAAAATGATAAAGGTGGTATTAAATGGACAACACCACTCATGACAGAGTTTGTACTGTTGTAAGGACAAAGTTTGACAGTCAAAGGAGAGCAGGAATCCTCCTGGAACAGATTAATACCAGCCAGTTCTTTCTCAGCGACTTCTTCCATTGAATTGACATTAACCCTAACCCAACCCCTAACCCTAACCCAAGTGCTCACCTTTACCCCAACCCTATTTTTCAAACAGAATTAAAAAATTAATTACACAAGTTCACTCATAGCCTCTGTACAAAAGTAAAAAAAAATGAAAGTCACAAGGTGGGACTTTATTCCCTATTTGTCCTTCAGGTGGGAAATCACTGCCTTTGTGTCTCCTTGAGATGTTTCTCCTTTTGTGTTTCCTGAACCCTCTCTCCTTGCTGCATTCACCCAAGCTCACCCTGGAGACAGGTATTCTTCCACTGGGTACATTCTGTGAAATAAATTGACATCTCCTCAATGAAGAAAACTAAATCAAAATAAACTCTCTGTTGTCCTAGCTGGTGACATTTATAAATCTGCTGCAAGGTGCCAAATTTCAAAGTATTACAGCAAGGATGTTCACACTTCAGCTTCAGATTTAGATCTTCCAGAATAGGAATAAGGCTTGACATATAAAATCTAATTAAGAAAATGACAACTACTAAAAGGCCATGGGAATTTGGTATCTGAAATACTGATGAATGTTTAAAATCACACAAGGTCACACAAGAGTGCTTGTCATAGGCTTCTGATGCCTGGAAATACTGCACAACATTTTCCATATTGCACCTCTCCCTTCCAGGGTTTTCCAGGATAGGTTTGTCCCTGCTGTCCCAAATGTCTAGCTGGGACATCAAGAGTGGAAATGTTTGTGCTGGGAAGAGTCAGAACCAGTCTTAGAAACAAGGGTTGGTTTGCCTGGCTGCTGAATTGCATGACATGTTCTTCTCATGCATTTGAGCTGCCTATAGGAGCATCAATGCCTTTTGCAGGGGAAAATATGATATTAAAATAGAGCAGAGAAAGAAATAGGACAGACTAACATCCCTGCTGAAACACCACCTCCCTTTGGGGCAGCAGGAGTCGTCAAAAATCCCATTTGCAGTGCTAACACTTCAGTAGGGGGTTAACAGTGCCAGGGATCAGATGGATAATTCCCTTCAAAATTATTGTTTTACCTCGCTCCATCCAATTACTCAAGTTGTTTTGCTCTCCCACAGATCTCTCCCTTAATGTCAACAAAATGATTATAGCCTACAACAGCAGCAAGATGTTTCACCCACAGGAGCTCTGGTGAAATGTTTTATGGCAGGATATGTTGAAAGCAGCGTTTGATGTGTAAATGTCAGGAGCAATCAGCTTCCCTGCCACCAAGGGAAAATACACAAACACAGGCACCAAAAATGTCACAGGGCACGTAAATCATTGTGCAAATGGCCAGCACGAGTGCTGCTGGTGGTGTGGAAAAGCTCAGTGCTGCCAGGGCCCTGCAGCATTCCTGCTCTGGGAATTGTGGTTGGCAGCACAGCCCAGCCCCACTCATGCTGAGGTTCCCAGATCTCCCAGGGCTGGCTCCTGCAATTCCAACATATTGATCAAAAAGGAGTTTTTGCAAATGAACATTTGTGAACTCCCTGGTGCACCAGCACTCCTCTTTTCTTGGTAATGGGAGCTACAGAAAGCAGTTTGATGAAACAAGCCAGATCTGAAGGCAGCAGATACTGAAATCTGGAAGATTTAATTGAATATTTTTATTACATATTTTTGGAACCTTCATTATCCCCCCACCCTCCAGGAATTTAATTACCTAAGGAAAATTATACTACTGATTACAAGATTGCAGGTTTATTTTCACTGCTGAGAACTTTTTTTTTTTTTACAGCTCACATTACACTTGCATGACTTGTTTTGTAACATCTTGAAATTTTTAATGCTATGATGAGGAAAGGTACTTACATATATATAGATGAACTAGGCAGAATACTTGATTTGCAGTCTTTTTGAAGGGAAAAATGTTATTTTCTTGGTTTGAGTAGGCCTGTATGGTTTCTTTGAGCTATTGGATAATAAGCTCACAGGATTGCTCCCAGGATGTGCCTTGTGTTTGTCCTTCAGTCTGGGTGCAACAAGAGAAACTGAGAGAGGTGTCTTTAAAACATAGGAAGGACTGTTTTCTATAGGGGAATATAAATAAATTATGCAGAAATTGTGACTACAGTGTGTGTGAAATTAAACTGGCAAGTATACTGTGGTAAATATCTGACAGATAGGACTACAGTTTAGCCAGATTCTCAGTTTTTCCAATAAATCATTGCTCCGGGTCTTGTAAATCATAATTCATGTCAGCCAGCACTGCATGGTGAGTTAAGGTCAGGAGAGATTTCCAAATGTGTTATGATGATTATCTAACAATTCAGTTAATAGAGCCATAGAATTGGATGAGATTTTTGTCATTTCCCATGTCACAGCAACAGAGACCTTTGACTGAAACAACATCATGAATATTGGATAAGATCCTGCAGTGCTGCTTCTCCGTGTTATGATATTATCCAAGGATGAAGGTTACAAATACATGAATTGTACTGTTCATTTTCCAGTGGGTAAAAATAAAGGAAACCCCCCCCCATAACAAGTTTCAATACACAACTAGATATAATATAGCTTTTCCTTTATATGTATATATATATATATATATATATATCTGTATATATATCAAGTAAAAAAATCTAAAATAGTTGGAAGTAAAAAATGAAAAAATAGCTGATAGTGTTATTTTTTTTCTTTACAGTGATATGGTAGCAAATACAAGACAAATGAATAATAAACCTTTACATAAGGAGTTCTGGTCCCACCTCCATCAATAGGGCTCAGACTAGAATACAAAATGGAACAAGGTGTTTTTTGCTTTTTGGCTACAGCTTCTGCAAGTGACAAAACTTATGTTGATAAGACAGAAGAAAATTATAGCACTACACAAAATAAAACTCCAAAGTGTTTTCCAAAAGACCTTACAAACACCAAGGGGTACAATTGACTTCTGAACTGAGGGAGCAAACACAAAGCATCACCAAGTCCTACTGAGGCTGAAAATACTGTATGTTTATCCCAACCTGACCTCAAAATACATCATTTTTGTGCCATCTTACCATTAAAAGAACCCCATATCAGTGATTTTTTCCCCTCTCCTCTGCAGCCAGTACCAGAAAAGCCAAAGCCACAAATCCATCCCATGGACTGAGCCAGGTGTGAGACCTCAATGATGCACAAGTGGTCGGCTGCCCTTTGTCCAGCAGTGAATTTCCCCAGAATCTTTTACACCGAAAACATCAATTGACTAAAGCTTGGCCAATGGTCACACTGAGCCCTATCTTGGCTGTAGAAAAGAAAGTACTAATCCCAGCATAAAACAAGATCATAGAGACGGTCAACACAAAACAGTAACTTTTTCAGTTGTCTGCATAATAATAACATCATGTTTGCATATAGAACAGCTTTTGCATTATTGCTCTACTTAGAAGAATATAGTAAGGAACTTATACCAGACTTGCACATTACAAACTTAAGGTTCTTTGGTGAAGAATGAGAAAAAACAGTATTTTCGCTGCAGTTAAATTTCGGAGGAGTCTCCTTTCCTATCTGCTGATCCTTTGGATTCTCTCGCAGAGCAGGGAAAGGTACTGAGTCAGCTTCACCATGGCGACGATGGCGACGCCGCCGATCATCATGCAGGTGGGCCAGAACAGGGAGTGGAACAGCACGTTGGAGCTGTACAGTTTGGTCAGGATCACGTTCTTCTGCACGCCCTCGGGGTCGTAGAAGCAGGAGAAGCGCTGGTACTTCCTGAAGTTTTCCATCACCACATTCACCAGCGACATGGATTCTTCGTAGTTCTTACCGCACTTGGGGATGTACGAACACTGGGGAGAAAACAGAGGGAGAAAAATGTCTCCAAACCTGTTACAGTGTCTGTTTGCAGGTGGCAAGTGGGGAAATCTCCAGATGATTATGCTTTTCACAACAAGAGTGGAATACTATTACGCTAATAATGAATTTATCACAGCAAAACTCAATATTTTGCACATCTACAGAATTTCCCATTGGAGCACCTCCAAGTGCTGTTCAAACATTAATGCTTTAATCTGCACAGTGCCTTGTGAGGTAGGTGAATATATTATTATTGCTAATTTACACATGCAAAAATAGAACTGATGAAGTACCTCTTCACCTTAAGTGGCACACACATGCTTGCAGTTAGATGGGTAATTGACTTTCTGTAAATACAAATCTGGTAGTTTAGCTCTCGCTTGGCTTGGATCAAAGTGATCACAGTGGGCACAGGAGTTCACTCAGAGTGGGGAGGGATGAAGAGAGACCTTTACACAAATATTCTCATGGGGGTAATGCCTCAGCTAGAGACAAATAAGTGGTCTAGGTTATCCTACTGACAGCCCGGAGGACTCTCATTCAGCCTCTAGTTGAAGATCAGCCTGGTTGCCAGGGTGGCTCTTAGTGAGGTTTTTGCTTTTGACCCCAGCATAAGTTCAACAGTTCCTCTCCACTGAAGCTGATCCTGGATTTTTGGTTTTAGTCCCAAAGGAAATAAGATTTGGGTGTGGCTCTATCTAGCACAGTTGCAACCTAGATTTCCAGAGAATACTAAAGGCAAGTTATTTTAAAAACTGTCTTATGGAGTCCATGCACTGAAGATATTCCATGGGAAAGGTAGGACAGTGGCCCTGGGCTCTGCTGACCACTCCCTGACAGAGCTGGTGTGGGCTGGTGAGGTGGTCGGCAGACACAGGACTGAGGCCACCTCAATTTTTGACTTAGAGCAGAAACCCCTCAACTTGCTGTTGCTCCTGCTGGTCTGGAAGATGATTGATGGGAGCAGTCCAGGGTCTCTCACTTCCTTCTCCCTTCTGTGCACTTACACCCCACCAAATCTGAAATTTTTCTACACCTGCACAGGATTGTGATTAACTGCTTCAGGAGGAGCGGAAATCTGCTGCTTGACTTCTTGTTGGACAAGCAGGGGGGACCCAGCAGGCTGCTTGTCCTAGTGAGAACCTAAAGTAGCCCCAGATAATTTAATGAAATGAAATTTAATGAAAGTGAGTTTTGCAAAGGAAAGAAGATGTTTTTGATTAAAATAATGTGACCCATGGGTTTTGATTATTTCTGTTTTAATGTACATACTTTCTAAACGTCCCTCCGTTCTTTTTTGTGATGTGCCGTGAATTCTCTTTTTTTAACATACTGCAACAAATCTCTAATCCTAATTATGATCAAAGGATTAACCTCATAATAAGATTCGATTGATTCATTGGCAAGTTATTAACACAGAATATGATTTGAAGCGTGGCAGAGAGATTGTCTGGCGTTAGCAGACTGGAGCATTAATGGTGGAGCGTGGCCACACTGCCATTACGAATATTTCATAGAGCTCTAGAAATTAGAGATGAAAAATATCAGAGCATTAAGATCTCATCCATCTTGCTGCTGGTGCGTGTCTGCTCCCTATAGGATATTCTCTTGTACTCTGACCAAATTTGTCTAAATGTCCAAAGTCATGAGCCCTCTTTCCAGTGCCCACGAGTCTTTAATAGATCATAATCTACTAAGTAGGGGAAATTTCTCAGTGAGGCATTCCTCATTTTCCCTTAGTAAATTATTACTGTCATAACAGCAATATTTCCAGTTCAAATGGGTTTGTGTTGTGGTTTTTTTGGGGGAATTTGGGTTTTTTTTTCTTGTTGTTTTTTTGCTATTCATTTCTGTTTCTGGAATTCCCATGAAGTATCCTGAATGAAGTGATTAAATGAGAACTTGGCTACTTTTGCAAAATACAACTTCCCATTGACAGAAAACAGAAGATATGTAGAAGCCAAAAGGATGAAAGATTCCTGGGCTCTAAGTTTACAGAAATATCCCAAGAGTGCAGTAAGTCCAAGTACTGTCCAAGTGTTCTCAGAGGGGACCTGAAGCAGAACTTGAGCTGTTCCCTGGACCTGCAGGCACAGAGCCCCAGCTGCGTTGGGCTGCCCATGATGGAGGGGCTGGGAGCATGAAACTGTGGAGTGCAAGGGAAGTTGAATTATTTTGCCTCTCATCCAGACTCCTTGTGCTGAAGCCGTGTCTCTCTCCAAGATTTGGTCTGCTAGATGCTCTCCAAGGTATGTGTGCCCTTTGTGTGCTGTCTGCCTCACTCTGGTTCTCCTGAGACCCTGGAAACATCTTGATCTTAGCTTTGGTGCTCAGCACAAGGACATTAAATTGTGGTCGTGGGGTGCTCCTGGCCTCCTTCAGCATCTCAGCTTTCCCAGTGAGATCCCAGAGCTGTGTTTCATAAGTGTTTGGCAAACAAGTAGGAAGACTAAATAATGGGATATGTTGATATTTCTTTTGTTTTCCACAGTTTAAATTTTCAATAGTTTTCTCCAATGCCTGGTAAGGAATTTTATACCCACAACTGTTATGCTGTACCTGTGAATGTAGACAATTATATCTCTGCTGGTTTTTGGCACATCTGCATTGTCAAACAGTTGGAAATCTGCAAGTAAACAATGTCTGGTGCTCTACCTCAGGCCAAGATTCTGTGATACAGCATGAGAAAGGTGATTCTTGTGTTCCTTGCAATCTGAGCACAAGAAGGATCTATCAGACAGTTACAAATAGAAGTTGTGATTAATGTTTTCATCTCTTATTTTCTAACATAAAGCATTGGGTAAGTATCCTGTCTGAACTACCTCTGGACACATCCAGTCCAGTGCCCTGCTCAGTGCAGAGTTGCTCAGGGACTTGTCCAGTCAGGTTATGAATGTCTCCTAGGATGGAGATCACACAATTTCTCCAGGTGAGTTGGAGGCAGTTTCCCTTAAATCAATGAAGATACACTAAAAAGGTCATTGCCAGAAAAGCCCCCAGTTCAGGCTGGGCAGTGAAATACACAACTCTCATCATATGTCTGTGGCTGGGATTGGTGTCCAAGCTGAGCCTGGAAACTTAGACAGGATGAGCTGTGGCAATCTTTGTGAGAAAGTGGTCAGGATGTCAATTTACACCTCTTTTGGGAAGTGCAACAGGTTTGGAGAAGGATTGAAGGAGGAATCCTGTGTCTGAATTGATTCCTCCAGATGAAAGTCTCCAGTTCCCTACTGGAATCCACAGCTGAACACCTCTGCTTCCCCTCCCTGCTCCAAGCAAACTCCTTCCTGGCTTATAAACACCTGAGTCTTCAGTGAGAAACCCTGAGAATCCACATCGTTTCTGAGTCCCAGGCAGTTACAGCTGATTTTGGTGATTAAATCCTTCTTGTTATTTCACTGATGGAGAACCGATACAAACCAGCAGTAGCTCCAATGACATGAAAAGAGTCAAAATTACACAATATAAGATCAAAACGGGGCCTCTTTAATTGCTTTAACTACCACAGCCCTTCCTCATGGTGACAGCCTGGCTCTGTGGCTGATTTATCTCTTGCACAGGCTGTTAGAGCCTTTGGCAGCTGAGGAAGGAAAGTGAAGCCATAGAAGCATTTAAACTGTTTTGCCTGTGGTATTGACAAGGGGCTGGGCTTGTCCTAAAGGCTGGAGATAAAGTAGGCACAGCAAGAGCAATGAAAAGCCAGAAAAAAAATCTCATGTGCTTTTCTTGGAAAGAGTCAAGCAGCTTGACAGATATTCACTGACTTCCCACTGATTCCCACCAGAGACTGGCAGCAGCATGCTGTAGATCTCAGTATGAATTGTACCTACTCCTTACTCCACCCTCTGAGCTGACAGCCAGGTTAGACAGCAATTCTTCTGGATAAACCATGATTTAAAATCAAAGTGGAGTTTGGCTGGTGGGGAGAAGAGAGAGGTAGGCTCCAGATGCTGCTCTGTCCCTGTGTGTGGTGCTCAGCAAAGCAGAGAGGTTGGTGGAGGGGTGTCAGCTTTTGAAAATGTCAGGACTGTGTTCTGTGTTGTCCCCCAGTAATATCAGAGCTCAGTGAGCCTGGCATGGGATTATTTTTTGTTTGTTTGGCAAAGGTGAAGACAGGGAACACAAATGTGAGTAAATGGATGGAGAGAGACAGCTTAGCACCCAGCTGGAGCATCACCACCCAGCACTGCTCAGGACTCCTTTCCTGCTGCATGGGGATGCTTTCTGGCCAGGGAAGAGGGAAATCACATCTGGAATGCTGAGATTGGTTGTGTTGATTTGAGCTTGGAAAACTCTGCTGATCTGAGCCACGAGCAAGAAGACAGGTATTTTATAGACATTGCAAACTTCCACTCAAAACTGCTTTTGTATTCAGGTCACATAGCCAGCAGCATGCCAGGAAAACCTAGGAATCCTCCTGAAAGCAGAGCTTAACCTGTAAAACAACCTTGGGCTGGAGAAGTATTAACTGTGCCTACACTAAATTAAGAGGAGGTGGCATTTGGGAGAATTTCAAAGTCCATTTCAGTAAGCAAAAATGATCAATAAAAGAATGTGGAGATTTATGTTGAATCTCTCTATTTGAGTCAGTGGAGCATAGAGATTTATCTGATCTCTTTTAATCAAATTGAGGCGTGAACATCATGGTTTTGCTTTTGCCTCAGCAGGAAGTGAGGTCTGTCCTGCCTCAGGCTTCATAGGCAGTGAGTGCCTCTTCCTGCACTGATGCCAGAGTGGAGGGGAAAAAGGGGGAACTCTTCTCTATTTCACTTCAGAGCCAGAGGACTCCATCTCCCAGCCATGAGAGTTAATTATCCAGCAGAATAAGCAGCCTAGTGCAACCATGCCATACTTTGACTAATTTTAATATCACTTCATCTTAATATGCAGGATTAATTTGTTCTACTGAACAGCTGCCATAAATAGAAACACAGTAGGTTACTTTGTCAGCAGCCTGATCCGGGGCTCTGCTGTTCCGGGTGTTCTTTGCCAAGTTTGGGGTTCAGTGACCTTGGATAACCAAGCAGTTAAAGGAAATCTGGCACCTGTAATCATTCCACTGCGTCCTAGCTCCCTCCAATTTGCACTCTCAGGGACACGGGAGTTGTTAATATGAAGAAAGGGAGGTGGGGAGAAGTGGGACATTTCCCATCTCTCCTTTCCCTGGGGAAGGCAGGGAGTGATGCACGGCCCATGGCAGGCTCACAGCTGCCCTGCTTCTGCCTTCTCTGCAATCTGCTGCCTCCCTTCAGCCTCCAGACAGGAGCTCTCTCCATCCCCCCTGCATGGGGCAATGCTGGAGCTTGTACCTGCAGAAGCAGGGACAGAAATTCTTCAGGCTTGCTCAAAATAATTCCATTAGTCCAACATCTGGAATCAGAGCAGCTGTGCTGTAAAGATGGGCCGGCTCCTTATTTATTCACACCCCAAAGCCAGGCCTTTTATGTTTATGCTGCTGCTTTTGCCTTGGCACCCCCCACTCAGCAAACTTTCGGGGTCTTTGCAGGGTGAGTGCAGTGGCTGAGCGCAGGGGAGCTGCTCAGGCTCAGAGTTTGTCACCAGAGGTGGAGATGGGCTCTCCTCTCTCCCCACCACCTGCAGAAATGGTGTCATTTCCATTCTCACTGCACATTTCTAGGGGTGTTCACTGTCATGGGGAGCCATTCCTGGGTGGGAAGTGACTTGTCCACAGCTCGATGAGAATATCAGTGTGACAAGTGCTCGATGATCCCCTGCTCCTGTAAAGCTCTTGAAAATGGTGAGGGAGGAGTGGGGCACAGCACCCCGTGTGGGATGGATGGAGGCAGAAAGTTGCCCCTCTCCAGACCTGTGAGCATTGATTTCTGCTTTCTCTGCTCTGTATTTATCCGTGAAGCAGGAGCTGGAAGCCTTATATTGCTCTCAAGTGAGGAATGGATGTAATGAGATGAGAAGCCCTCCAGAAACCCATTTAGGAACAAATTTTATTCTGTGCTCCTACCTCAGAATTAATTTTCATTGTTTCCTCGGTGTGGTAGAGTAGAAGCTTCTGGCCAGAAGAGGTGAGATTAACATACACCTGCAGGCAGGGGTACTGAGAGATTTTCCAGCACTCTGGCCCGCAGTTAAATGAGCAGTTAAAGGTTTCTGTGATGGATGCATTGAGAAGCGAGCACTGAGTCTCTTCTGTCCAGACACTAAGCAGGAAAAAAAGAGACATTAGAGCATGGCAAGACTAGGCAAATAAGCACTAAAGCCATCTCAGGATTCCCATCAGAGATGTACTGGGGGCATCTTGCAGGAGAGGCTACGTGTTGCAGCAAAGCCTGGGCTGCCTCAAGTCACACATCACAGACAGTTTCATTCTGTAGCACCCAAAGTTTAGCCTTTGGGCAGAAAATTACCCAAAATCAATTACAAAATTACTCTATTCACTTATGCCTGTGCGTAAATGGAAAGTGAACTGGAACTTTGGTGCTGGAGGAGGTGTATTTGAAAGGGTGCCAGCAGAGAGAGAAGGAAACTGAGCAGCCTGTGCTGGGGAGAGCACAACACGAAAGGCTCTCTGCATGACAAGACACCCGAGCTAAGACTTGAGGGTTAACTCAAAGTCCAGGTCAATTTAAAGTGGAGGCTGAGAGGACAATTTTGAATCAGCAGAGTATGGTTTCTCATATACATGAAGACATAGGAACTCTCTCCTGCATCTTTACCTATGGGAAAGATTTTCCTAGTGGCAGCTTGCTCGGTTTGCTCTGAGTTAAGTCAGTGGCTGTAACTTTTCTGGAGGATTTCCTCTCATCTCCAATCCACCAGAGGCTAAAACTGGAACCCTGGAGCCTGGCTGTGCACTAGCAATGTTCACTGGCACTTATTTAAAAATCTACAGCAGTGTTTCCCTTGGGGAAAGGGCACACTGAGGGCTCTGCAAAAGCCCTTTGTGGGCTGGGGGAAGGTTCCACCCAGGGCTCCCCTTTAATGGTGCTCAGCCCCTCAGCTCACCCCAAGGTGTCTGGCCCTGCCACAAAGGGGATGAGGGTGTGCTTGCCCCTCAAAAAACCTATGAGGGGCTTTGCACAGCAAAAAAAGATTTCTAACTGATTCCATTGCTGGTTTACTTAAGCAGTAATTCTGCTTGTATATTCAGTTTTACATTTATATTAAATTATGTGATGTTTTCTGGGGGGAAATTGAATGAAAAGATTTTTTTCACCCTCCAAGGCAGTATTTGTTGGAGGGGTATTGCTTTAAAGGAGAATAACCCCTGAGGAAATCTGTCTGTGTGGAAAAAAGGGACAGCAAAGGCTCCTGGGTTGTCTTCTCCTCACTTTCACTTTTCTGGCTGCTGTTTTCTTCATGCAGGGGGGTAATAAAGTAACACCTACCTACCACAGACTTGTGAAGTTGGAATAGTTGATACTCTGGAGGTGTTTTGATATCATCTGGTAATTTTTTTTCACATATCATATAATATAAATCAACTTTTTCCACGTGAGCAATTTTGACCTTAGCAGCCTCTGCAATTGACCCTGATATTGCTGAAAGATCTAGGAGAGCAATTTGGAATAGCAAATACTCTTGGATACTTAACAGGTCTTGATCTCAGTTTTCAAAATCAAAATTTTGCCTTGATTTAGAAAGGGACAAATAACTTTATCTCATAAATAAGATGCTTGCAAATGAGTACAGCTCATCCTCATCTGCATTCCTTATCACTGCAGGGTCAAGAGGGAATATTCTCATGCAGGTGCACCAGTATAACTGAGGATGCTCACACCAGTTAGCTGCAGGCACTTCTTGCATGTGCCTAAAGAAGAAGCCTCTGGTGTTTAACCCAAGATGTTCCAGGCATGTGCCCCTGCCTTAGTGTGGTTTGGGGCATAGCAGACGAATATTTTGATCCCCAGTTACACATTTTTCATTCTCTTAACTCCACCAATCAGGGCAGGAAAAACCCATCACTGACAGTCTAACTGCAGTCTGTGCTGGGTTTTAAATAGAGCTGATGCTTGAAAACTGATTACAAATGTTGTTAATGAATCACAGGCCAAGCTCTCTGCTCCATGGCAGAGACAGCCTCAGAAAAATTAAATGCAGTGCAGGAATGATGGAAGATGGTCTTTTGCTTTCAGCAAATTACTATCTTTCATAAGGATTTCACTTGTTAAAATGAAAGTAATAACAGACATGGAAAACTACGTGCTACAAAGAACTTGATTTCTTTCCCAAATTAATTTTCCATCTTTCATTTAGAAGTGGGCTGTTTCTCAAGGATGCAAAATTTTTTTTGGTCTTTTGTCCTGAGTCTGGGCTTTGCAGCAACAGCCCCTGAGAAGCTTATATGGTTCAGCAGACTGCAGGCCAGCTGATATGGATATTATGCTGGTGTTAAACTGTGCCAAGTCTAAAGCCTGTGGATCGAGATTTTGTCAAACAGTTCCAATTCTTCCCCCACTTTATGCCAGTATTACTCAAATTGCTTCCACTGTGGCTGTGCCTAATTTATACTGGGGCAAGGAAGCGCAGAGTTAGGTCTGTGCTGACCAAATGAACAATCATAAACCTTTAATGAAACAGCCAAAAGAATAAGCCACATGAAGTCAGCTGCAGCAGGGGATGTGAGACCAGGGCCAGCCATGAAGTTACCTTTGCATGTAGGAGCGCAGCAGCGTGATTCCCAGCAGGAAGTACATCATGATAGAGCACACCATCATGGCCAGCCCCAGCAGTATGGCCCGGTCCTCTCCAGCTTTCAGGGCTGTGACTGTTTTCCTTTTGTCCAGTAGGTCGTGATCCCTGATTTTTTGGTAAATATTTCTGAGGTTGAAAATAATACATTCTTATGTGAAGTTCATGTTTAATCATCAATGCAGCCTCTACAGGGTGGGCACTTCCACCTCCATACCCATCTCATGGGAGAGAAAGGCTTAAAGGTCCTCTGGTGTCCTTTTCCAACAGATTCACTCTGACCTGGTGGAAAGTTATTCATCTCCAAAACAAATTACAGCCATTTCTGAAAAGGTGAAAACCCCTTACAGCAAATACAAGTATTAGACACTTGTTCCAGCTCAGTAAACACTTCTTTGGTACAGCCTCTTTGGCTCAGTAGAATTATCCCAGAGGTGCATTTGACCTGCCAGTGCCATCTCAGGCCACCAGAAGATGTCCAGGTGTATGAGGTGTCTTTTCTCCATCTGAATTGGGTAACAAGTCTTGTTTTACCACATGTAGGCAATAGCCTGAAGAAAATCATCGTTAATATTATCTGAAAGGACCATGCTCTCTTTTGATTCACTACAGGCTATTGGTTTGGGCAATTTTCCGCCCTGAGTGTGACTCCAAGCTCATTGATTTCTGTGCGTTTTTTTGATTGGGAGCTTATATACTTTATTCATAAAACAGCTTTTTGGAAGCCCAGTTACTCATTACAGTGAAAGCCCTCACAGAGAATTATCCACCAGAGCTATTTGTTCTGGGATTAAAAAAAAAGAAAAGAAAATACAGAAAAAGAAGATACAACAAACCACTCCCCCTTCAGCAGAGAGTCCTTTGCATTTTCTAACCATAAGTCCTTCTTTCATCTCCGAGCCTTTGATGATTCAATGGGTCATGAGGACACAATGGTGGAGAAGGAAATATTTGAGTACATTTCAAACACACTCAAACTTTGTGGGTTTAAAATGTACTTACAGACCTGAGGCTGGTCAAAATCTCCTGTGCTTTCTGTTATGGTTCTTTAGAATCATCCAGGCAGCACCCGAAGCATGTGAACCGCACACCTCTGAGCCCTGGCACCACCATAACATGGACACAGTAGTACACGTGGGAGAAGTTCCTCTTCTACTGTCTGCAAAACGGCAGGTGAGCAACATCAACGTCACTTTGGCCTCTAGCAAACCCACCACTCGTTTCAGCTGAAGCCACCAAGTTTCACTCACCCGCGGGAGAAAAAAAAATAAAAATCACTGAGTCAGGTCAACCAGAGAACTTACGTTGGCTATTGAGGGTAAAGAAATAGAGATAAGACAGATGTGAAATCATACATAAACACAGTAGAAGCAACAGCAAAAAATATGTTTAATCATAGACTCTCTGAGACTGGAATTGAATTTCTGTTTAGGTGATGAGTCATAGCCAGGAAAAGCACATATGGAGTGGGGTTTTATAGCAAAAATCTTGCTTAGACAGTACTGCAGTCAATAGTCTCCTGTACCCAACAACCCTTGAGGTTTTTTTTATCCAGCTGTAGTTTACATCTTTAGGTGTCCATGGTTTCTCATCAAAACCATCCTTTAGAGCTTGACAGTATTTTCCTATTTAAAAATGAAAAGGTAATTCAGCCTGTCAAGGTTTCCTCTGCTGTTTGAAAAAAAAAAAAATTGTAAACTGGCAGATGCAATTGCATTCAAAGAAGTAATGTAGAGTAATAATCTAATGCTACTTTTCTATTATTATTTATCAAACTGTATTTAACTGCTGCCATTAGGATTTGCATGGCTCCCAGATGGAAGCAGGCAGGAAGGCAGAGATTGTCATGCAGTTCCAGCACATTAAACGATCACACAGCATAACTTATGTCAACGTGTAGGCATAAAACAGCCCCAGTGCAATCACTCACTGGTGTCACTGGACATAAAAGGGATACAAATGGACAATTTGAAAACAAATAACTAATTGAGATTGGTTACAAGCGCTTCCCATGGCTTTAGCCAAAGAACACACCATCAGAGGTAACAAAAAGGATGGACTGAAGGGTGTATAGTGAAAATGAGCTACCTGGCAAAGGTGACTGGTGACCACCTGCCAGGTTCATCCTCCAAGCTCACCTACTGTAGGAAATAAAACTAAAGAAAGCTCTGCCTCAGAGGTCAGGCTTGGAGCACGGCTTCCATTGCTCTTCTGTAAATATTTGCTATTCAAAGCCCCAAACAACATCAAAGTGATATCCTGGTGCATCTCACTGAGGGTTTTTTCCCCTGAATCCCTGCCAGGAGTCAGCCTGGTGACCCTGCTGGGGTGGGTGGCACATGCCAGCCCATGACAGCAGTCCAGGAGACAGCACTGAACAACCCTTCCTCCTCCTCCTCCTCACCCTTGTGCCTGCACTGGGGAGGTGCCAATTCTCTTTGTGTGACACTGGGAATGTCTGCTGCTACAAAACTTGACATTTTTGCCCTTGAGAGCCCTGGTTTGGGGAACACAATATGTTTTGGCCAGCATTTGGCCAGAAACAGAGCAGTCTCAGCACCTCCCTCGCCGGGGCAGCAGCAGTGCCCTGCCCATGAGTGTGCAGCTCTGGGGGGGTGGGTGGGTTCGTGTACCTGTGAACTTTTGGCACAGCTCAGGGGCCTCCCTCTGCTTGGTGAGCTGGAATGATGCCCTGCTTAGCTGGCTGATTTTGGATCCCAGAGCTGCACAGCCGCAGCCAGCTGCCTGCTGGGCTGTGTTTGAGTACAGGTCGCTGCATCCCAGGCACTGCTCACCAAGTGACTCCATCCAATCCTTGTGATTCCCTGGGATAACTCCCCATATGCCATCCGGGGGAGCTGTTGGTTTTTAAAGGGGCCACAGCTGTCAGAACACAGGGTCTCCCTGACCTCTGCAAAGGCATTTAATAGGAAGCAATCCCCCAAGGACATAAGGTCTTTGTTCCTTGATCATTTCCAGACTGAAGTTCTCCCCTGCTAAATTTCCCTGTCCTTTCTGCCAAGTTGCTCCGAGGACACAGACTGCCTGCTCTCCCCAGGCCCAGGTGCCAGAGGGGAGATGTCAGCTGTGACTGTGCCTGCTGGGGACAGGCAGAGATTTCCCTCTCCATGTCCCTGCACAGCAGCAGTGCAGGGATCCCTCTCAATGTGGTCAGCAGATCCTGCTGCACCTCCTGCTCCAGAATGAGAAGCACTAAGAGCTCTGTAAAGAGTGCCAAGTGTCCTCACGGGAAAGCTGGAATGACCAGGCACCTGCAATTACTTTATTTATTTCAAATAAACACAGATTACCTACCTGCGAAGCCCTCCCCTTGCAGAGGGACCATGGTGTGACACTGAGGGGGACATTGCCTCCTCTGGCACCACACAGTCAGACAGGGAAGCCTGCCTGAATAATTCAGAATGACTTTGAATTCACATTCCCTTCTCTGATATCACAGTTGTTATGCAGTTGTCACTCAAATTACCTCATGGTGAGCTGTTTACTATATCAGAAATCCTTGAATGCAATGGTCAGAAATTACTCCTCTGTCTTATCTGAAGAATTCCCTGTGTTCAGGGATTTTTCTGCTCAGAAGCCACCTTCTTTACATTTTTATTTACAGGTATGTTTGGCTGCACCAGTAGTAGACCTATGGCAACAGGAAATATCTCTGGAGCCCTCAGAACAGACTCAGTGATGATTGTAGGTGGATTCCTATAGATACTAACAGATTTGTTCACTCAGTTCCTTCATTCTTCCTCACCAGGCTGGACAAAACTGAACCAAACCAAACCAAACCAAACCAGTGCTTTGTTTTTCCAGTGGTTTCAATGTTGTGAAGAGCCTCTTTGACAGCTGAGAAAAAATGAGGGCTCAACTAGTTTTCCAAAGCATAAAATGTGACAGCTGAGGAATTGTCAATGGCTAAAACAGCAATGAAATACAGATATTGTGGTGCTGATCCTGCAAAAAGAGATGCCTCAAAGATGCCTGATTCCTTTAGGGCAAGTGGCTCATGGCAGCACAATTAATATTATGGTGCAACCCCTCAAAAGCCTGTGGCTGTAGGACCTGTTGGGTGGCAAACTTGCTGATCCATGTGACAGTCTTCCTGTCTGAAGTTTAAAGGACAAAATTCTTGGGGAAGGGTCATTTAAGGTGAGTAATTTCTCTGAAAGACACCACCTGTTTGATATAATGATGGCACTGGTGACCTTACATGTGTTAAAATCACTGCCAGACACTGGAGGATGAGTTTCTCCCACTAACAGCACTTGCTCTGTATTCACACCTCTCCTCTGCAGTCTTCAGGCTGCCATCAGCACTCTCTTATTTCCATCTTCTTTTCCTCCCTCTCCCGCCTGAATTTTATTAATCACTCACAAGGCACAAATAAGTCCTTCTGTACAGCTCTACAGAACCTCTTGGGAAATAAACCCACCCCAAGGCTTGTCAAGATATCTGAATTCACCACGGCTGGTGTGTAGGCACAGAGATCCTGCTCCCTATTCCCTGTCTCTGCAGGCAGGCAGGGATGAGCTCTGCCTGGATTTGTACTGACCAGCCTCTGGTGAGCCCTCAGCCCAAGTTAATAAGCCTAGCTTCAAGGCATGGTGAGAGTCAAAGGCTGTGCTAATCAGGAGCTTCCAGCCAGCCCAAAGTGTGGGCAGATATCTCCTTCAAGTGTCTAAGCCTGGACCATGACAGCGTTCTAATGCAGAAGGACATTAGCCTGGGGAAAATTCAATTAAAGAAGAGACTGGCAGAAGTACAGGAGGCATTTAGACAACCAGCTCCAATGAAAGTTCATGCTGCAAAGCTGGCCTTTTTGTCTTCAAACTATCTGTTTGGGATCAGATAATCCAAAGAGCTGAACACCTATGCAACCTTTGCAGAAATATTCAGAGAATCGGCCAATTCTCCAAAGAATCTCAGGGTCCTGAGGGCAGCTCTGCTGCTTGAATTCAGGAGTGCAGATTCCCAAGCAGATGCCAACAGTAACATCTCATTAGAATTACTGAAGAGTGTGTTTTGCTAATTGGCACTGTAGATACATTGATATCTGGCTTTGTTTCACTGGAGTGTGATTTTTTGTGATTACATTTAATAGTGACTGCAAGAGGAACTGAAGGAGAGGTGGAAAGGGGCAAAGGAAAGAAAAGAAAGGCAAATGTGTCCTTGTTGTGACAAGACAAGCTGTCCAGCAAATCTTACTACAAAGGAGAGGGATTTTGGAAGGATGAGTCTGAGCATTACTGACAATTATTATTTCATCATTGATATTTAACTTCTTTTGTTCCCAATTGAGCACTGCCTTTGTCTGTAGACTTCAAACCTCCCCTTCCTTTCCCTTCTCTTTGGCACATTTCCCTGCTCCCCTGGGAGATCCAGTAACTCATTTATTCCTCTGTCTCCTTGAGCCTGTTCCCTCCAGCAACACCACTCCAGTGGGCTGGTGAGCCACCAGCTCTCTTTCAAGCAGCTGAACAGCCCCCAGCTACTGTGCAATGTATTGCACACAGGCTCATCCCCACACCTGCACCTGTATAACCAGAAATCATCTCTGGCAGCTGGATGCATCATTCAGGTGTGCAGCTGTGGTCTTTGCTGGGGTCCCCAGGATGAGGGAAGAGATGAATCTGACTCCATGTTCTTAGAAGGCTAATTTATTATATTATGATATTACGTAATATTAAAAATACCAAAACTATACTAAAAGATAGAGAAAGGATACATCAGAAGGCTAGAAAGAATGAATAATAAAAACTCATGACTGACTCAGAGAGTCCTGACACAGCTGGACCGGGATTGGTCATTAAATTAAATAATTCACATGCTGGGAAGTTCCAAAACCACATCCTAAAGCAGCAAAACAGGGAGAAGCTGAAGCTTCTCAGCTTCCTAGGAGAAAATCCTGGGTGAAGGGATTTTTCAGAAAATATCATGGTGACATGCAACAGTTGTGTGGGGCAGTGATCTGCCTGGGGGACAGCGTGGCTGGTGGCTGGAGGCAGGACACCTGCAAAAAGCATGAAGGCTTCACAGGGACTGGGGCTGCACACCTGTGGCTGGGGGTTAGTGTGCTTTTAAACCTGAATCAGAGGTGGTCACGGTGTGCTGCTGGTGTCTGACAACAAGGAAGACTTTGGCCATGGCTCTGGCATTACCCCCTGGCTCTGCTTTGGCATGGCACAGTAACCCTGGCACCCCCTGGGTGTTCCTGTGCCTGGTGGAGCAGAGCTGTGGGCACAGGGAGAGCACCCTCTGCATCCCTCCTGCTCCTCCAGTGCCACCACTGGGGAGAAGCCACGGGCCACGCTCACAGATATGCAAACCCATAAGAGACAGTCAGCACAGGTGCCTTTACCTTTTCTCATCGTGTCTGTAAGATGTAGATCCCCGGCCACTGGTCCAAATAAACATTTTAGAGGGTTGCCCAGTGTTGGCTCTGCTCGCTGCAGTGGGACGATGGAAGGACCTGGGGGAAGAGGGATAATTTTTGTCACTGCCCACCCAACACGGCAGAGCACATAATATCCAATGTGCCAGATCTCCTGTGGCCATGCCCCCTGTGCTCTGAGGATGGACATTTGTTAACTTGAGGTAAGATGTAAAATAATGGGGATGACAGACCAGTGTGTTGGAATGGAAAACAAACCCCATTAGCCGCACTGGCAAAAGATGAGGCTGACTAATCAGGCTTAGCTCTGCTCCATGCTGCAAAGAGTTCATACCATGGGCAAGAAATCATCAGTAGTTCAAGAAAAGGTAATAGCTGTGTCCAGTATTCTTATGGCAGTATTTTTTGGGGACAAAATGGCTATTGTTTAAGCACATCCACACTCATTACAGGTTTTTGGTTGTTCTGCAGCTCTCAGCAAGGTGAGGCTCTCAGGGAAGGTGTCTGAATGGGGCAGAAGTATGAGATGAAAATGCAGCATTTTGTGGAAATGTAACTGATATGACAAAGATATCTTTTCTCATGGAGAAATTACTATCCTGAGGCCAGTTAGATCCTTGCTCAAGGACTTCCTTGTTTCACTGCAGGGCGTGAGATCTATTACCTTCTCTCAGGGTCTCAGGCCACATTGGACCTGCTAGTGGGGATATGGCTCCCCTCTAAGCCTCTCTTAATTTCTTCTGGTTTTAGTGAGGCTCAGTTAAAAATCCTGGATTCTGAGAATTGGGCCATTCCTATGAAAGCTGCACTTTGCATTCTTTCACAGCACAACATTTTGTGGTTTTAATGCATTCAGATACAAGCTTAAGGGAAAAAAAAAATCCAGAAACCAAATAGTTCATTGTGAAGTTTTCATACACTGGGGGCCATTCTTTAGCTCACTGAAAAATAAACCTGATGGCTGATGCTGTCAGCAGAGAAGGCACATGATCTGAGAAAGTCTCTAATGTCACTGTCTCCATAGTCATGCAAAGGGCTAATTTCAATATTTGCATAGTGGTGAACCAGGAGAATACTTAAATACTGTAGAGGTGGCTGCAGGGGAAGACTGACATGGGCAGGAGCCAAAATCCATCTCTGTGCAGACAGGCTGATGGTTGCTGAGGGGCTGGGCATTCCAGCTGGAGTCAGCTCAGAGCCCCCAGCACAGGGGCCATGACACAGCCCCAGGCCCAATTCTCACCCTGGTTGGGCAGCTGGCTGGGCAAACTGGTCAAACTGGTGTTCCTGTCACCTCCTCCCTGCTGGGATCCTGCTGCCCTGCCCAGACGCTCAGGGACTGGGACTTGCAGACAAGGACCTTGCTTAAAAGAAGAGGTGGCAATATTTGATGAAGCTTTTGGCTGTGCTGGTGAACAGCAAATTGGACAAGAAGGTGGTCCAGAAGAAGGGAGGAGGAAGGAGGGGAATCTCCCCCAGCCCTTTCCCTGATTCTGTGGTGATCAGTGCAGTCTGAATGCCAAGAACTATTCTGTTTTTCCATACAACCACTGTAGTTAAGTACTGGGGAATGAACAAGATGAGGCACTACCTCCCTGAAATAACTATAGTTCAGAAGGTGAAGTAGCATCTGCTGGGATCTAATTAATATAGCCAACAACTAAGTGTTTTGATAGTGATATTGGTCAGAAATTTCACTTGTAAGACCCTGAGCCAAATCCTCACACTGCTGGATGAGATTTTACCCACATTACCTCAGACAGCACCACAGTGACCCCCAGCTGGTGCTTCTGCTCCAAGCCATGCAGGAGGGGTCAGACCAACTACCCAGGGGCCACATTGCATGCTGGACTGAGCCTGCCCCATTTCCTTAATGATGGAAAATAAAATTATATTTTATTTAAATTATGCCATTGCGCTCTTTAGGATGTCATGCACTACAGGAGAGCCTGGCTGGTTGTGCTGCCACAGCCTGAGTGGTCCCAGAGTCATCAGGAGATGGTGGTGAATGCTATTAGAGAGCCTTTTCTTAATTAAGCAAAACTTGGGCACACATTAGAGGTCATCTGCAGCTTCTGCCACCTGTCCAAGCCTACAGGGACACCTGGGCAGGACTCCCTGGGCAGGGAGCCAGATTTATAAGCTCCAGAGCAAATTGCTGGGGTGGGAGCTGGGTGAGGGGGTGTGTCCCACTGAGGGGATGCCAGAGAAGGAAAAGGGATGCTTCTCTTCCCAGTGAAGTCGGAGTGATTTCAGGCTCCCTTGCAGAGCCAGTGCCCTGGAGCAGTCCATATGTGACAGCTTTAAAGCTGCCTGCTTCGTTAGTTGGGCAATCCAAGCTAACTACCACTATTTAACACACAATTGCACGCCTACTTTTGTGTAAAATTGTAACATTGATGACATCATAACATTACTCCAAAGGTCGAATAAGTGACTGAAGTCCATGGTTCCCTTAGGCAGGGGTTAGACATTAGGTAAAAACCTTTTGTGCACCAGGAACAACACAAACTCTCCAGGACCCTTCTTTGAAGGCCTCTGGAGGACTCATAACCTCAGAAGTTGCATGCTCTGCCCACCAGGTCAGTCAAACTTCCATGCCTTTCTCCCCTGCTGGGTAAGTCTCTGTGAACTATGTTCCTTCACTGCGCCCTCTCTCTTTTCTGGGAAAACAAATAACACTGCTTTTTCTTGGTTTTTATCCCCCGTGGCTTCTCAGAGTCAGCTGCTGGCAACTTATTTTTATCGTGCAACAAGTAATCAGCCTGTGCAGCTCATTACTGCAGGATGCCAGCCTTGCATGCAGAGTGGATTGTGTTATTGCCTGAACAGACAGAGCACCTAAAGTCAAGAAAACACCTTAAAAACAGTGGAGAAGAGATGCTTCAAGCTGATACTTAGTCTGCCAGGACTCTGTGGGGGATACACCTATGGGGCAGGTTATCCACAAACTGCTGTAGTTGAGGTGACTTTTGCCAGTCAGGATGCTGGGTGGGACTCTGGCCTTTCTGCCTGACCTTGCCTGGACACCTCTGTCTCCTTCACTATTTACACAATGTGGCATCAATGCAGCTGTCTCTTGACACGGTTTCCACAGTGACAGGCAAGGAGGCCAAGCTTTGCTTTTTACAAAACACACCTCATTTCTCATATCTGGGTCTATTCTGAGTAAATAGCTCAAGGCTAAGGGCAGAAATGCAGAGTAAAGAGTGCACAGTCTGGTACAAACACAGGAGTCTGTGATGCTGTCCCACTCCTCCCACTTTCTCTTGTTCTCATCCTCATCTTGAGCATTACCTGCTGGTGGATTTCATGGAACTCACTAGAAAACCTGACAAGACGTCCACTATTCTGCCCTGTCCTAAGGACTACATGCAACAACTTGATTGAGGATTTCAGTGTGAAGAAAACACAACAGGGAAGCATTTGCTTCAAATTTCTCCAAGAAAGGGTGTACTTCTGAGGGTAAATCACAAAATCCCTTAGCTGGTGCCTTGGGGACTGTATTACATACCCTGTGTTACTCTGTTGTCCTCACTTTCCCCCTGGGCTGGCTGCTCTCCTTCCTCTGCCTTCAGATTGTGTCATGATTGGTTTGAAAAGTCCCTTACCTCTAGGTCACCACAGCTGTGAACAGCCAAAGAGAGATGTTGCAGACCATGTTTTTAGATGGAAAGCTGGGTTTTATGTGTGTATTTGCTTGTAATTGCCTCTGCCTATGTTTATGTTAATCACAGAGTTTCTGAGACCTTGGAGAACCATTTACAGCACCAAACTAATGAGCTTTTTTCCCCTTATGACATTTCATTTCCTGACCACTGTAAAAAGATTAGCACTTGCATTAATTTTGCCTCATAAAAGACACCCTGATTCATCAAAAGGCAACAAAAGCTAAACATTCACCTAAAGATTCAATCACTGACCACCTCAGCTCTGTGAATACACCCACATCCCCCACTGTCCATGCTGACAACTGCTGGATGCTTTATCCCAGTATTTCCCAGCCAGAAGAATCATTCAAACCCCAAGGGAATTCTCTGGAAACCCCAAAGTTTTCCTGCTAGCCCACATGTTACCCTCTCCCCTTGCCACCCACAGCAGCCAGTTCTTGGACAGAAGGGTCAGTGGCTGTTGAGTGATGGGAAATATTTGGTCTCTCTCATGCCTGGATAAATCCTTTTTTTGAGTGGTCCCACCCACCATCACCCATGAGAAAAGGAAGAGGCTGAAGCCAGGCATCAAAGACAATCTGCAAGAAGACTGTTGTTCACTTTGAGGTGAATTTACTGAATATCAACAATTAGACTTTGTATCCAAATAGGTATAAGACTCATTTGGTATAAGACTGTGCTTCTCTCTGGTGATAGAACGTTCTCTTGTGGATTTGATGAGACAGAAAACAGGGAAAGTGGTGTGTGCTGAAGGATGGGAGAGTAAATAAAACAGCCTGTTGAATTTTTAATGTAAAGTGTATCCTGACTGGAGGGTAGTCTGGCTTTCAGATGCCTTAGAGTTTCCCAGGCAGAGTGGTGGAAGTAACTACTGTATTAAGATGCTCCTGTTTGATTCAGGAGATGATCCAGGGCAGGTTTCCAGTCCTGGTATTAAAATAATAAAAGAACTGGACTAAGGACCCTTGTTTGCATCCAAAACACAACAGAAAACACACACCAAGAACACAATTAAGCTAACTCACAAAAGAAATGCATCTGCATTAGCAGAAGACACTCACCACTTAGGGAACATTTAATGCTCTGGCAGCAGCCTCTCTGAATGGAGGAGCAGCAAAAGCAAACCAAAGGGTGAGTTTGTGCCTCTGTGAGGGAACTTTGCTGCTCCACAGCTGAGGGACAGGGGCAGGGCAGAGTGACACAAATTGCGGCTCTTGTTGCAGCCTCTCAGGAGCCCCAGCTGTTAGTCTGTACTACCAGACTAACCCAACCAGCAGTGACCTTCAGGCTGGGCAAAGGGAAAAGGGACAGTGGGCAGCTGGTGTTAATGTCCTGGCAAGAGTATGGGAAGGCTGATGGTTAATAATGCTTGATTAATGATTCACCTCTGTTTCTGACCCTGCTCCA